GACTGGGGACTTTGGACCCAGAGAGGGAAAGGGACTATGGGCCGAAAACTGGGGAGAGGAGGGAGAAGTGTAGGGGGCGGGTTTCTGGGATATACCCTTTGGTGGTTGATGATGCATGGAGGGGATTGGAACCATGGCAATGAGATGTTATACTATGGAATGAATGCAAAACTAAAGTTCTCCCATGTAAACTATCATATAATTCACAATAAAACATTAAAAAAAAAAAAGGCAGTGGAAAGGACACCACAGCTGATAATCAGGTTAAGATATCTAAGTTAATATTGGAAACGGAAGCATCATTCAGTAAAGAATATAAGGATAAGAAGCAAAAAAGCATACATATTCAAATAGGAAACTACAAATTGGGTAGTGACCAAAGATGATATGGAGTTGAGATCTGTAGAACACATGGTCTCAAATGTTTGCAACATAATTTATTATGAGTCTCTTCTGATGCTATGTGACAGTTCCAAACACAATAATACTATGTACATTGGCTGACTAACTCTCGTAATCTTACTAAATAAGCCCTAAAGCAAGTATACTGACAATCAGATTGGTGCATTTCCAACATCCCTAAACAGTGGTGGAAACAGCAGCAGTGCCTGGCAGTTGGGACAACCTGGACTTATTTTGATAAAGTTGCCATAACTTAATTCTAGTTATGGTGTCCAATCCTAGTTATGGTGTCAATTGAAGTGAAAGACAAAGACAGGAATTGTGTGTTTGTGAATAATGTAAAATAGTTTAAAAAGTACATGCAATGAACATGCATAAAAGACAACAATGTTGGTAAGATGAACAAAAATAGAGAGTAATATGGCCAGATGAGGTGAGCATTAATGATGAAGCAGCTGACATGAAATAAAGGAGCAGATAAGCAGGAGGGAATGGACAAGGGCTCTGAAGAAGTCATTTCCTCAGGAAATAGTCATATAAATAAGGCTAAAAAATATGGAGAGGGAGCATTTCCATGTTCTCTTCCCTTTGACATTCAGCACTTGGTCCTGTGCAGTGATCAATATGTCTACATGTATATAACCTTACTGCTCTCCTTAGACTGTTATGCCTGAAATCTGGAGTCATGTAATGTTGAGCTCTGTATATCATATATACATGACTGCTGTTTGTTTTTGTTTCAATCAATTCACCCGTTATAAAGTATGCTGTCAGGGAATTTATGCCATGGTAGAAGTTGGTAGAAGGGTCACTTATTTATGAGTAAAACAGAACCCTACATTGAATATTTTCAGTTCATGGAGAAATTACCAAAGGGTGACTCAATTTATAGCTAAAATGCTCCATACAGTTAGAAGCCATCCATGATAAGAGACTAAGCTTTTCCAAAACCTGGATGGAAGTTGAGCGTGTTGTGTTCTAGAGTAAAATGTTAGGGTTTTCTCATTTGAAAATAAGAACAGTCTAAGAAATGACTGTTTCCAAAATTTAGGTAAGAATTTATGAATATTTTAAAGCATTATAAGAATAAGTATATTCTTTATAAACATAGAGATTTATTTTTTCATTTTGTTTTTATTATATGATGCTTATACTGCCATCAGTTTTGTACATTGCCAATTGTCTTTTTATTGTGAAAAGAAAGAAAGTGGAAAGGTCATTCAGTGAAGAATATAAATACTCATTTACCTCACTTACACCATGCAGTTCCCATCCTCCAATACATTTACAGCAATACTTTCAGTTTGACCATCAATATCTCTAGCCTCCTGCTCCAAATTGGGCTGGTTCCTCTTGAGACATGCTGCATAGTTGTCATTTTAGGACTCCCCTTCACTTCTTGTCTCTGTTGGATGATAAACCTCTATTCTGGATCCCATGACTTACTCTTTTATGTTTTACTCCCTTCTTTTAATAGAACATGTTCTTCAATACCTTCCTAAGTCAGGATACAAGAAAGATTACATGTTTGAGGTTTTGTAGGTCTCAAAATGACTATTTTGCCTCTCAACTTAATTGATGCAGGAGAAAGATGAGGATTTCTGCTCCCACAAAGATTACAATATCAGAAACTCTATACAAGAAACTCTATGAGTCGGAACCAACTTCTCAGCACTTAACAACAACTATAACTTAATTGATAGTTTGGCTAGGAATAGGCTTATAAATTGAAAGTAATTTGTTCCTCAGATTCATGAAGGCACTTCTCAAAAATTTTACCAATTCACCATTCTATACACTTTGAAATCCATCTTGCCCCCATTTTGAGAACTTTTCGTGACTTTTCTCCATGATTCTTGGAAGAGAACTGGAATGGTTCTGGGATCCTATATGCTAGTTCTTTTTAACATCTTTGAATAGTCTTCATCTAGATCTAGAGAACTGAACTTGTTTAAAGCAGTTTGGGACACTGGTCTTGATTTCACTGTAATCATGTTTTAGTCCTGCCAGTTTCAGTTGGTTTGTTGTTTTTTTTGTCTTTCTTCCCCCTTCCTATCAATTCATTAATCCAACCACTATTTTTACAATTTTTACTATGAGTCAGATCCTGGTCAAGTATGCTGGATACTTAAAAAATATGATGCAGCCAAGACCTTGCCTTCAAGAAGTTTTGAAGATGAGTAGATCTTCAAAAGGCATAGAAAAGAGAAAGGAGCAAAGACCCATATTGAATGATGATCAATTTTGTGTGATTGTATCTTGAATGTATTGGGAATCAGGGGTAGAAGTGACTAGCCTAGAGACTGCTCTCCTCTATGCTGAAGAATGAGTCCACTTTTATGGATTACTCTGTAAGTACAATTTGTTCCCCTTGAGATCAAACTTAGAGGTTTTATGTCCTACCAAAAGATAACTTCCATGATGTCTGCCTTCTTTCCTTTGTCCCCAGCCAACACTCCACATTGCCAAGGAGCACTCCAGTTGAAAAATGGATTGATGACCCCAGTGAACAGCATACAGCCCTGCTAAGTTCCTGTAGGCTGCAGGCTGCCCACTCCTGGTCCCAATACAGTTTTCTCAGGGGGTGCTTCCTAGCCCCTCTCTTGCTGTATCTCACCTTAGTATCCAGAGCCTCTGGCACCTTCTTGCCTTCCCAAGCCCAACTTCGCTTGGTGAAATAGTTGACAGTGGCAAATTCAATCAGCGCAGAAAATACAAAGGCATAACAGACGGCTATGAACCAATCCATGGCCGTCGCGTATGCCACTTTAGGTAAGGAGTTTCTAGCACTGATACTCAAGGTGGTCATGGTGAGTACAGTGGTAACACCTGGAGAAAGAGAAGATGAGAACCATTGAAGGCATATTTGATGAGTTTGCCAACTTTCCACAGGAAAGGAGTTGTGCCCCACTCAAAATTTAAGGTGAAAAACAGAGATCATCAAAGCTTAATTAATCCACCTAATAACGTCCTGGTGTGGTCCAATGCGTTAGACTGCAAAGTTGTTTGAACTGCAAGGTCAGTGGTTTAAGCTCACCAGCTGCTCCTTGGAAACCCTATACAGGGTTGCTATGGGTTGCAATTGACTCGACAGCACTTAACAACAACAACAATTAGCACGGGCATAGGAATCTCAGAGCATTACATCTGAAAAGTGTCCTCTAGCTTCTGCTTATCTATTTCCACTGAACATTAAGGAGCAGGTTCCATTGTAAGAAAGGTTTTGTTATTATTAGAAAAATCTACCTTCTCACACTGAGCCTACTGATTAATCTCAGAGTTGTATTTTTCTATTGACAAGATGTTTTGTTGAGTGCTGTCAAGTTGGTTCTAACTCATAGTGATCTTGCATAGGGTTTCTGAGGCTGTAAATCTTTGTGGGAGCAGAAAGTTTCATCTTTTTTTTTTTTGTAGAGCAGCTTCTATATTTGAACCACAAACCTTCTGGTTTGCAGTCCAGTCCTTTCTTACAGAATCACCATACCCCCTATGGATATAGAACACACAATCCTGCTCCTTCTTCCCCAGATCTTCAAAGACTTGAAAATAGTGGGGATGGCTCCTCATGAATCTTCTAGTCAGTTTCCAGACTAAACAGTCCCAGTTCCTTCTCCTTCCCCATCCCAGCAGTTCTCTACTGAACAGCCCGGAACTGAGCTCAAGATTACAAACTTGACATGAGTACAGTAGGATTTTCAATTCCCTAATTCTGGACATTCTTTTCCTGATAATGCAGCAAACTATTGTGGAAAATGATTCTATAGCCACATTACATTCTGGGCTCCTTTTGAGTTTCATGGAATAGACTTGGTAAAAAAACAAAACAAAACAAAACAAAAAACCAAGGCTATTCCCATGGCTATGTTTTTGTGAGTTTTTGCCAAACTGGAGCTTGCTTTTAGCTAACTTATTATCTTCTTGATAGTGTTGTTACCCTAAATTCAAGGTTTTCATTAATCACTGTTGTAAAAAAACAAAACAAACCCCCAAAACTTTCATTATTTTAAATGTCCATATGAGCCACATAGTGCTTTGATTACACAATAAGAGCTTTAGAATCAGATTGAACTAGACTGAGGTTCAGATCACTAACAATGTGATCTTGAGCAAGATGTTTTACTTCACTAAGCCAGAGTTTTATCATGTAAAATGGGTATGAAGAAACCATGCTCAGAGATTTGTTGAGAGAATCAATGAGATAAAGTTTATAAAGATCATAATACAATAACTCACACAGCATAGCAACTCAGTAAATAGTAACTTCTACAAGAAATTGAAGGACATATTGAATTACGCAAATCTGCTTCACAAGACCTTCTTTAATGTGTTCCAGAGCAAAGATATCTGTTTTAGTAGTAAGCTGTGCCTGACACAAGCTGGAGTATTTTCAATAGCCTCACATGCATGTGAAAGTTGGACAATGAATAAGGCAGACCATAGAGGAATTGATTCATTTGAGTTATGGTGTTAGAGGAGAATATTGAAAGTACCATGGATTGCCATAAGATTAACCAATCTATGTTGGAAGCATTACAACCACAATGATCCCTAGAAGTCAGGATGAAAAAGGTTCAACTCTCATACTTCGGACATATTATCAGAAGAACCAGTCCTTGGAGAAGGACATTATGCTTACTAAAGTGGACAGTACCCCCAAAAAAGCAAGACCCCCAACGAGATGGATTGGCATGGTAACAATAGCAATGAGCTCAAGCATAATGACAATGGTGAGGATGGTACAGGACTGGGCAGTGTTTCAATCTAGTGTACATAGGGTCACTATGAGTCAGATCCAATGGCATCAGCATAATTAAAAATACTATCATTTTAATCCACCATTCGTCTGTCAGTTTGTTGTACTGTGATGGTTTGTGAGTTGATGATTCTGAAAGCTATGCCACTGGTATTTTAAATACCAGTAGGGTTAGCCATGGTGGACAGGTTTCAGATGAGCTTCCAGACGAAGACAGACTAGGAAGAAGGAGTGACGAACTACTTCTGAATATTTACTCACTGAACACCTTATGAATAGCAGAGAAACACTGTCAGATATAGTGCTGGAAAATGAGCCCCTCAGGTTGGAAGACACTCAAAATGCGACTGGAGAAGAGCTGCCTCCTCAAAGTAGACTTGACCATGATGATGCGAATGGAGTAAAACCTGTAGGAGAAAAGTCCATGGGACCTTCACTTGCTGATGTGGCACAACTCAAAATGAAGAGAAACAGCTGTAAACATCCATTGAAAATCAGAAAATGGAATGTACGAAGTATGAATCTGGGAAAATTGGAAGTTGTCAAAAATGAAATGGAATGCATAAACATCGATATCTTAGGCATTAATGAGCTGAAATGGACTGGTATTGGCCATTTTGAATCTGACAACCACATGGTTTACTATATAGGCAATGACAAATTCAAGAAGAATGGTGTTGTATTCATTGTCAAAAAGAACATATCCAGATCAGTCATGAGGTAAAATGCTGTCTGCGATAGGATAATATCCATGTGCCTACAGGGAAGCCCAGTTAATACCACTATTATTCAAATTTATGCACTAATCACAAAAGGCAGTGAGGATGAAATAGAAGAATTCTGCCAACTTCTTCAGTCTGAAATTGATAAAAAATGCAATTAAGATATATTGATTATTACTGGTGATTGGAATGCAAAGGTTGGGAGCAAAGAGGAAGGATCAGTGGTTGGAAAATATGGCCTTGGTGATAGAAATGATGCTGGAGATCGCATGATAGAATTCTGCAAAACCAATGATTTGTTCATTTCAAATACGTTCTTTAGACAGCATAAGAGACAACTATACACATGGACTCACCAGATGGAATACATAGAAATCAAATTGATTACATCGGTGGAAAGAGATGATGGAAGAGCTCTATATCATCAGTCGAAACAAGGCCAGGGGCAGACTTTGGAACAGACCATCAATTACTGATATGCAAATTCAAACTGAAGCTGAAGAAAATGAAAACAAGTCCATGAGAGCCAAACTATGACCTTGACTATATCCTACCTGAATTTAGAGATCATCTGAAAAACAGATTTGATACATTAAACACTAAAGGCTGAAGACCAGAAGAGTTGTGGGATGACATCAAGAACATCATACATGAATAAAGCAAAAAGTCATTAAGAACACAAGAAGGAAGGGAAAGGTCAAAATGGATTTCAGAAGAGACACTGAAACTTGCTCTCCAGCGTAGAGATGCTAAAACAAATGGAAGAAATGAGTAAGTACGAGAGTTGAACAGAAAATTTCAAAGATCAACTCAAGAAGATGAAGCCAAATATTACAACAAAATGTGCAAAGATCTGGAGTCAGAAAACCAAAAAGAAGAACACACTCAGCATTTCTCAAACTGGGGGAACTGAAGAAAAAATTCAAGCCTCAATTTCATTATTGAAGGATTCCTTGGGCAAATTATTGAATGATGCAGAAAGCATCAAGAGAAGATGGAAGGAATAAAAGAGTCACTGTACCAAAAGGAAATGGCTAATGTTCAACCATTTCAAGAGGTAGCATATGATCAAGAGCCAATGATACTGAAGGAAGAAGTCCAAGGTGCATTGAAGGACTTGGCAAAGAACAAGGCACCAGGAATTGATGGAATAAAAATTGAAATCTTTCAAGAAAGTGAGGCGGCACAGGAGGCACTTATGCCAAGAAATTTGGAAGATGAATATCTGGCTTACTAACTGGAAGAGATCCATATTTATGTGCATTCCAAAGGGAGGTGACCCCCTCAAAAAAATAGATAAATAAAGAGAAGAGAGGTGACCCAACTGAATGCGGAAATCATCGGACAATCGCTTTGAAACTGCATGCAAGTAAAGTTTTACTAATGGTAGTATAGAAATGGCTGCAAACATACATTGACAGAGAACTTCCAGAGGTTCAAGCCAGATTCAGAAGAGGCTGTGGAATGAGGGATATCATTGCTGATGTCCGATGGATCTTGGCCGAAAGCAGAGAATATCAGAAAGATGTTTACCTGTGCTTTATTGACTATGCAACGGCTTTCGATTGTGTGGATCATGACAAGCTATGGATAACATTGCTAAGTATGCGTATTCAAGAACACTTAATTGTGCTCATGAGGAATCTGTACATGGACCAAAAGGCGGCTGTTCGATGAGAACATGGGAACACTGAATGTTTTAAAATTAAGAAAGATGTGTGACAGGGTTGTATTCTTTGACCATAATTATTCAACCTGTATGCTGAGCAAATAATC